CGTAGTGCACGCATGCACTGGCAGAGCTTTGCACAGGCTGGACCGGGCGGGCAGGAACTTTCTGGTATGACCCCAAACTCCATTTCCAACGACGATTCTATCTCACGCCTACATTAGTAGCCTAGCCTGGAGTGTAACCATGCAAGTTTTGCGGAAGGGTAGAGAAAGGGACCGACAGCCCGGTAGTGACTTCATCAGAGCCCTTTCAGTCACGGGGCACGGTGCGATAGTGTGCTCTCGGCCTCCAGGCGTGTAGGTGTGTGTTGTTGGGGGTGGGGGGCGGGGCGGGGGCACCGCGCTCATCCCGGAAGCCGAGATAAGCCGCAGGAAGATGCCGGGCCGGTGCGGTCTCGCGCCTCTGGACTTACACATTTCCAAGTCGAGCGCGCACGCGGCGCACGTGCACCTCGGCTCGCCTCGGCTGCGTGGCGGCGGCGGCGTTGATTGGGGATCGTGGGCGTGGGGTCTGGTGGCCCACCCCCGCGCTGCTGGGGGGGCCCGAGGTGGTAGGCTCCCTCGACGCGCTCTCACGAAAAAAAAACAAAAAAAAACAAAACATTATTGATAACCCATGTTTTGTTTCAACACCATGGGCGGCAACAACGGGGCAAAAGCAGCGCCGAGCAGGGCCTTTCGATGTTGCTCCAAAGGAGGATCATATCTATGCCTGGCCACCCACCCCCTTCCTCCCCTATATTTGGCCCTTACAAAAGTTCCTGCTAGAGCTGGTTAGAGTGTTGTAGGGCAGGGGCAGAGAGGGTACAACAGTAGGCAAAGCCGCCCTCGCTGAAACACCCCGTCCCGTACTGCTTCCGCACCGACCCGCCCGTCGTCCATCATGAGATATGTATTTTGGACGAGGCTGGCCGGTGGGCGGCGCCGACCCGGTTGGGCCACCACGAGCTCGCATTGCATCACCGAATCACTCGGAATCACTCTATATATGCGAGATGACTTGATTTGCGTGACGTACACGTATCCGTGCTCCCCCCTCCCCCCACGCTGGGGTGTTTGTCTAAAGTGTATTTAGATTTGGGAAACAGGGGGGGGGGGGCGTCGTGCTCTTTATAGAATCAACGGGCATGTGTGAAATCAAAGTAATGGATGGAAACAAAGCCGTATTTAGTGAGAACCCGATTGCAAGTCACCTCTTGCCTTTTGATAGTTTCTCTACAGAATGTGCTCGTTCAACAGTGACGAGTATCGTCTCGTCTGTACTTTCAAGTTGAATCGAAACGCATAGCCGTCGTGCATAAGTGGGAGTGAGTCAGGAAAAGTATATCTAATCACCGGGCCCAGTCGTAGCTGACATGAGTCACGCCATTTCAAAATAACAAAATGCACAGCGGGTCAGCATCAGCAGGGCAACAGCGAGATGGGGGCGGCGGGGGCGGCGGCGGGTACGGCGGGGGCGCGGGGTCCCTTGCGTCACGAAACGTCGCCTCTGCTGTCGCTATTTCGGTTCAATGAGTAAGTACTCTTAGCATACAGCAAGTCAGTGACCCCCGCGGCCCCCGGTTCGCTTGATAGGGCATACAGAGCGGGGGAAGTGGGCGAGGGATAGGGGGGGGGGGTCGCAACCCCTGCACAGCGCGGCAGCTCTGCTCGCAGCAGCAGCCCCCCCGGGAGCCCGGGACCCGGGACCCCACCCACCAGTCTGTGAGGGCAGACAGCCTCCTTTCAGTCAGTGCGCCTTTCTGGTCGCCCGATGTTCGCGTGGTCTCGGCAGATAAGGGTGTTTTCCACCAAGACGCTCCTTATCGCGTGCCACTATTTACGAACCGAGGCAAGATAATCCTCCAACCCTACGGCCCCGCCTCGCTGCGGCCGACCTCGCCCAGCCCAGCCCCACCCAGCCCAGCCCTGCCCCGCCACACCCCGCCACGCATCTGCATGCACCTCCTACCCTTTCTCTGACTCTCAGTGCTGTAGCGTAAATATGCCTTGGGTAAGTTGAAGTCGCGGAGGTGGAGCGGAGGCGGCCACGGACACGAGCAGGGCGCCCGCCAGAATGAAGGTAGGCAACACCTCCTGCACCCGCGCGACGGCACGGCCCACCTCCCGGGCTGTGCCGCTCCACACCCACCCTCCAGCTGCAAAGGATAGACTGGAACTCATGATGAATCATATTTTTTGTCCTTTGGTGAGGGCATATGATCAAGGGTATAGTATGTTCCGCTTAGTAAGTGCTGAAAGCAGTTACGTCACGTTTCTCGCGCAGTTTGGCCCCAATCGGTCGGTTGTGCAGTCTGCTGCTGCTGTTCGATTCATTATCGCAGACAAATATCCCACTTGACGGCGACGGCGCGGTGCCGCCGGTGTTGGCTGTTGGCGCAGAGGGGCGCGCCGCGAGCGGAACGCGCAACCGACGCAACCTGACGCAAAGCCAAAGCGAGCAGCAGCAGCCAGCAGAGCAACGTCGGCGGCGCGGCGCAGCGCAGCGCGACGCAACGCTCTGCAGTAATGCACTAGATCTGCAGCGGCCGCAATTTTACGGCACGCGGGTGGGGCCCGGCTTTGTTGTGGCGCAGCTCAGCACTTCCCTTCCGGTCCGGCGGGCCCGCGCCACGCGGCACGCATCGCGAAACGCAGCCGAGCGCAAACGCAGGGAAGCATATAGCACAAGCCTGGCTGGTGCTTTCCGCATCCCCTCCCGTCCCCGACCGCGTCGCGTCGCGTCCTCATACATTATCATGCACCAAAAGTTATACATTTCCCATTTCGTATGTATTTGCTCTTCTTCTGGGGGTCCCGCGCCGCCCGCGACCGACCCAGTTTATCAGCTCCCGCGCGCGTGTTTGTGTTTGTCGTGCGCCGACGAAAAAAAATAAATAAAAATAAGTAATAAAAGTAAACAAATACGACAACGTCGAAAATAGCGGGAGGTTGCCCGCTGTGAAAAATATGTTCGTAGATGTATTGGATGTTTCATAAAAGAGGTAAGTGCGGGCGGCTATGGCGCCTTACGGAGGCAAACTCGTTCGCACCTGTGTCTTTTATGAAACACCCAGTACGACATATTTTGTAATTTCCCATTTACAAAATGTGTCGAACATGTACAACCTCCCACCAAGCTCCCACTCATGCTCGTCATTCGATTTCAAGTCGGTACGGACGGGAGTGCTTTAACATTTACAATCTTAAATTGTAATTGTACGACTTCTTCCATCTAAAATTTTTCCTGTACCCGGTGCGACAAATTTTGACAGTGTCGGGGGTTGCCGCAATAAGCCATCTTATTGCACGGTTGCTTGTCCCTGACTCGGTGAAATGCCTCGGACGACGCCAACCTCGAACACCCTGGCGATGACATACAAAGAAAGGGGAAGTGCCTAATAACTCGGGGCCGCGGCCCGCATAGCGTAGACCGGCCTCACAGGAGCAGGCTGGGCCGGTTTGGCCGAACGTATCGCGCGCCGTGTGTCTCTAGGCCGGGAGGCTCCTGCATCTAGAGGTATATTATCAATGGTGATTGCGCAAGACACGTGATGCAGGCGCAGCCCGCCCTGCCAGAAACTGCTTGCGAAGGGAATCATCGATATTTTCAAGCATGTACAATCACGGTAAAATGCAAGTGCCAAGTGCGGCCAAGTGGGATATTATTTACCTCTTTGAATATGTACAGTAAGCACATATATGACTGTAAACTTTATGTATTTTCATCTAGCATTTGTCAGATTTTAGACAGACCCCAAGACTGTCTGTACCAGATGGAGAAAAGTGCCCCCTCTCATTTTTTAAATAAATGAGTTATCACTGGACCTACGACAACGCGTTTGTCACTTCACAGACATTTTCTTACAGTGTACTTGTTACACATTATGGCTACATAGTTTCTCCCATACCTAATCATTTTCATCGCCACTTCTCGTTTGTCGCTTCGCCCCTTAGTCCCCCCTCTAGAGTCGATAAGGAGGTGGTGTGGTGTGCTTTGAATAGGCGGCGGAAATTTCTTGGGCAACACAGGAAACTCCCTCATCTGATGAGTGGAGAATAACTTACTGAAACAGGGAAATGTTTTTGGCTCACTCGCACGGTCGGGATGATGTGTGATCGGTAAGCCCCCTCAGCCGAGCGCGGGTGTTGCGCACCGAACCGCTTCCTGGTCAATTAATTAAAAACAGGTCCGATATGAGGAACACCCCGCCCCGCACCTCTCGCCGCAGCCGCCGCCGCTCCCGACGCGGCCCAGTTTGGGTTCCGGCACCGGACGTGCTGCAAAAATCACAAGTGAGTTTTGCATCACGGGAAAAAAATAATAGAAAAAACAGACTAGTATTAAAACGAGTAATTGAGCAAAGTCATTGCCGGGGCGCGTTATACCTACTCGGTTATCGCGAGGGCATAGACCAGAGATTAGCCCAGGATCAGTCAAGTACCTTGTAAATAAGTAGTGACACCTTACCTTATCCCAGGGACTCGCGGTGGGAGAGAGCACAATAAAATCATTAGAATGGATTCTCTATCCCTATTTTTTTAATAAACAAGTACAA